TGAGACACCAATCCAGGTTTTGCTTGGCAGTTGCTCACAATTTTAAGCAAGTCAACATGCCAGCATTTTAAGCTGGATAAATGTAATCATATTCTCCACCACATGTGTTGTTTCAAAAGGAAGGCTACATCCCAGGATATTCACAGCAACAACACAACTAGATGCGTGTTAGGACAGGTGTGGACATCTGCTGCTTCACTGTGAAAGGCTGGAATGGTGTGACCTCTGTCCAAAGGGTGTGTCGAGGTGGAAATCCAAGAAGTGCAATACGTTCCTGCATGCACACCAGCAAAGGTTGGCAGGACACCCCTTGAAGTAAAGGGGATCTAATGCCCCAAAACATGCTGCTCTGTTGAACTAAGATACATTTGAAGAAGGTTTATGGCTTTTGCTGAGAAATTTTAGGTGTCCAAAAATTTTATTTGACTGTTACTGATCTGGTTATCAATTCAGAGTTATACTATAAAGGGAAACCTTGACTGTTTGATAGAGACCTCTATTTAAAAGAATAATGGTGCTTGAATTAAAAAGAAAAATATATTATTTGTTGTTACTTTTCTTACTCATTTTTTTTTTTTTTTTAGAATTCCTGTTATTAAACACATGTACAGACTTTGCAGAGTATATGTCTGCAATGTTGACTGTTTGGGCTAACACAGGGTCCTGTAGCTTTCCTGTAGAGTAAACCTGCACACTGAGGTATTTTCCAAGTCATGCCAGTATATTATGGCAAATATCCTTAAGTTTGAGTGCAAATAAAATAATTAATATTGGAGAAAATTACTGTCATCACATCATGGTTCATAGGTTTCAGTATTATATAGCTTTTTTTAAAATCTTTAATGATATATTGAAGATATTTACTGACTACTTCATCTGAAAACAGAAGAACAAAGTAATAAACTTTTAGTGATGCGCTTCACATACATTTGTCACATAATATTTGGTTAATATTATTGATTGATAGATTGTTTAATATTAGAACCTACACAATATTAAGCTTTGATCATTTGCATCATCTGGTTTAGATATATGGTGGATTATAAGAAACTTCAGAGCAGTGCAAATTCAATCATATTGCAAGATATATACAGAGGAAATATTTTGAGACTACCTTACAATCTTGGTGGTATAATACAAATGAACAGTAGCATATAATGATGTCTTAAGTCAATCATAAGTTGAAGTGCATATATATTTTAAGTTCTGTTAGAACGATGAAATAACCTTTACAGTGATTTGTTTATTAGACACAGCACAGTTTGCACAAATATGCAAACAATTCCATTTAAACTTTAACCAGACAAATTTATTTCCATGTGCAGGAATTCCTTTGTGCATACATGGAAAGTGTAAGGCCTAAACAGGACAGGCACCAACAGATATGGTACTGATAATGGTATAACTAGTATAAAGAGATGCGCTGAAGTTGTGTAAAGGTAGTCAGGCTAAACAAACTTAAATTGTGCACCCTAAATTAAATTTGCCAGTTACATAGGTATTTTTAGCTGAACCTTCCTGGTATTGAGATCAGATAATATAGGCTTGTGTATTGACATTATAGGCTGATCTTAACTTTGAGCTGTAACCTGCCAATTTAACCATCATCACAAAAATGTGAATCTATCCCCAACACAGTGTTAACAAGACCTGAGTATTATCAGTTTCACAAATATAGGACTTTCTCAGGTAAGGTATTCACTGTATTGGATAATTTTACACGGTTCATTGATTGATTGATTGATTGATTGTTTTTAATTTAGGTACTTTAATTAAATTTGATTTTATCATGTTTTTCCTAAATCTGTTGATATGGCATGTCAATCTGGAGTATACTCTTTCATTTAAATCTACAGGTTTTTATTGGGGGATTTAATTTTGGTGCACAGCGAAGAGTTAGGTAATCAGGACACAATAGTGTGCACAGTTCCTCACATATTACTGAGAAAATCTGTTTTGAAAAGTGTTAAATTAACATTTCAACTGCCAGTATTGCAGAAGTATTTAAAGTTATGATTTACTGAACTTTATTATGTCTCTGTTTGTGTTTTAAAAGCCCGACTAGGAATGGGCATGGCAAACTAGCTAAGATTAAAAATACTCTGGTGTGTAATGTGGTTCATGTAATATACTTGCCCTTAAAAAATAAACCATAAATAAGTAACAACATAGAATAAAGCGCTTTGTCAACAGCAACCTGAATATTGCATTTTATTACATGAAAGTGAGTATCGGTGCCAATCTTTTTTGAGGACTCTAAATAGAGTGCAGTGTTTCTGAAGCTGGACACTAAGGCTTAGAATTCAGAATGCATCCATTTCCTATCCTTGAGTTTATATTTCAAAATAAAAGCCAAGCATACTTGAAGAACTATCACTTTACTTTGGCACATTTCTAGTATGACCACAAATTTGCTGTGCAGTGTATAAAAGTTAAAATGTCACATTACATAACATCATGTAGGTTGGTGAAGGCATCCATGAATGAGACACTGAGGCAAAAGAATGCACTTAAAGTTATCCTAATACCCCTACAGTAGCACATGTGCATATCTTATGTTCATTTGTCAGACATCATCACTCACTAAGGATTTGTGACTGGTCATCATGGAAATATATGGAAAAGGCCTTCATCCCACTCTTCCGCTTCAGCAGGATCAAGGCTGCTATCATCAGGTGGTTGGGGGGTGGTACATGTAGTACCTAGTCCTTGACTTTCTAGTCAGAAGTCTTTATCCTCTGAAGATGAAATGAGCATGACCTCCCGGCTCTTAAAGTCCCACACGGCTGTAAGATGGAAGGCCATATTGGAGAAAACAACTAGATACTCAAACAGGGCAAAGAATGTGTAACCTGATAAAAGAAGAAACAGAGTACAGAAAAAATATAATTTGGTCAGAATATTGTGAATATTTGCATTACTGTAAATATGATGGTTGATGATTAATATTAATAAAGCAGCACACAATCCACACAGAAACATAAGGATGGGTTAAATACTCACTCCCTGATTCACAGTACATGTTGTGTTTCCAGTAAAAGAATCCGGCAAAAGCACAGAAACATACATTGAGAAGTAAGAAACGCACTTTCCAGTGGTGAGACTTGGCATCCTGTGAGGGCACAACAAAGTAAACAAATACTGAAATTGACTGTAATTCTACAAATGATATGGCAGTTTTTAAGTTCTAGTGCCTCATTTGCTATTTCTTACCTCAGGACTTAAGGAATATTTCTTAATAGATTTCCATAAACGGCAGGTTATCAACATGTAGATTAGAGAACTTACAATGAACAGGACAAAACCTTCCTTATGCACAACTAAGGAGCAAAAACACAAAGAGGAAGGGAAATTTGACCAACAAATGGGGAGAACTTGTGATAATATGTTATTAAACTTTACATAAATGCACCAACCACCAGTCATATCATACTTAGCACAACTGAAACTGCTTGTTTTTAATGTACAAGAATAGGTAATAGTATTATCAGTATTATTATTATAGTATTACACTATATTTGTGCAGACAAGGCCTGTACAAAAATGCAAACTAAATTCAGAATACTCACAGTAAGTTTCAGTGGATGATACGTATGTGAGCAACAAGAGTCCAATGTTTTCAGATATAGAAAAGCCCAGGTTTAAACAGCTGAGTAAACTCTCTGGAAACCTGGTAGCAAAGCGAGCCTTGTAAAACTTGAAGTAGGTAAAAGCCACCAGTAACCTTGGTGCTGAGTGTAGTCCAATGCAGAATCGCCAAATGTGGCACTCAGGACTTAAGCTGATAGAGGCACTTATAGATGGCAGGTAATTAGGAACCTAAACACACATCAAGAATTTTGTTTAGGTTAAAAATATATAATCAATACATAATAAGGTATTGCAACTACTACCATAGAACTAAACATACACATTACCTGGCAGTGTGTACCAGTGGCATCTTCAAAATGAAAAACAGAGGATATGAAGACACAAGTGATGAGCCCGAGCAGGGGTAGGCACACAGTCGCCAGAACACAGGTGGCGAAGGATACCCTAATAACCAGGGGTCTTTCATGCCCCAAAATATTTGAACTTTGTAGCATTTTAGATTGCGACAGCGGGAAAAGAAACAATCGTGTAAAGATGATCACATACGGGATATAACGCTCTTGGCATCTGTAGCTATGCTAGGTAAGAAGAAAATAGACTGGAGATGAGTAAACATGTCAAGTACATCCATAAGGTCAATATTTATCTTGAACCACTCGGGAACATTTCAGATTTAAAACATTCGCGTGAATTTACTGAACATGTAATGGCTAAATCCATCCTACCTTCACCCTGTTTACTGTTTGCCAGTGGTCTCTCCCAACAATACCTACGCTGTAACAATAATATTTAAGTATGCAGGGCGGTGGACGTGCATTTCTCAATCAGCTATCGTCGATCGCCTAAAACACTGCTCGGCTCATCCAGTCATTTTAAATTCCCGCATTTTAGGGGGTGTTTGTTTTGTTTGTTTTGTTGTTTTTTGCATTACGCGACCTCAGATGAATGCTCCGATGAGATGATAACGGGCCTGCGGGTGTAGCATCCTTGTCGTGTAAAACGAGTAGGTGGGGACCACCAGCACCCGGAAGAGAAAGTCGAGGAGGACAGTGTTGTGATTGCTACAGCATATATATTTCGACATAATGCAAATTATGTATTATGTAATTATTATCTTTAAAAAAAAAATCATTGGCCAGATTTAGCCCGAAGACAAGGAGCGAGAAATGTGTTATTATTTGTTTGTTAGTTGCCGGTAGCTCTCCGTGGTGCTGAATCACAGCAAACAGGGGACTGTTCTTATTATCATTAATTCGCCACCAAAACCCCATCAAAGATAATACACAACACCACCTTTAACTCGCCGTGTTTGTGCAAGGTGTACACGTGGTCGTATCAGCTGGATTCGTTCTGTCCCGCCCCTTCCTGAGCGCTTGTTGGGCTTGTACAGCACCGGATTACATCGCTGCTGACTTCCCCCATCGGTGTGTTTTTGTAAAGACTATTTTCGGCGAATAAAACGTGTTTGGGGACAGAGCAGTTCAAATGGTTCTCGGATGGAGGGCATTTGCTTCAGCAAGATGAAACAATGGCGAATGGCGAAGACTTTATTCCGCTGGCTGCTGTGTGTCGGTATTTTGCCGAGTAAGTTTACTTTCGTTTTATTTTCTGTTTACCTCGTATAATCTAAAACGATGTCGGTATGTCGATCAGTTTTGCGTTCCTATTTAGGTTGGTTTAATATCATATGAAAGGGAACTATATTAAAACTGTCCTAGCAGAGAAGAAAGCTTTAGATAACATTTTTCTATAAAGTGTGGTTGGACGTGTGATCCCAGTCATCTGTATTTCATTGCATCTATTATATTTTATAGAACATCCTTTTCACCTCATATTTCCTCTCCCCCTCAAGCTGTTTCCCGCAATCCGCAAACTTGTTGCCAGCTGTTTGGGGATTTTGCTGTCATCATAATCCTGTAGACCTTCTTTGGATCCAGCTCAGAGGCTTTATTGAAACAGGACTCGAGGTTAACATCTGGTTAGTCCAAATCCATTGTTGACACTGGGAATAAATTTAGTGCTATAAACTACGTTTCCTGTTGAAAACTCTTCCTGCTCGTTTCCTGATTGATGAGTGATTATTTTAATTAGATTTTATTTTAATGCGTGAATAATGGCTTCGTGCGTTTGACGAATATTTCCCAATACTTTGCCTCCAGGTTTAGGCTCATTTTTATTTGTTGTTTGTTCACTGGATTAATGTTGCATGTTGCACTCTATATACTGAGCTTTAGCAGCGAAAGTCACTGTTGGCACATGCTGGCAGATGTGTTTGGTCTATTTCTAGAGCCTTATAGAAGGGAAATATAGATTGCCATTGCCCTTTGTTCCCTACCACCATCTGCTGTACCATCCATATTTTGTCTCACATGCCCCACATGTTTTTCCCTTTTCTTGCAACCCTCTAAATCCACAGCACTGCCTTTGCTGTGCATGTCACTGGCTTGAAAATCTAATGATCCGTGATCACACCAGCATGCCTTTCATAGCAAACACATATTTTTCTCGATTAAAATGGAAATACATGAATACTGAAATGCATCACATGTTTTGTGTTAACATAGCTTTAAACTGTTTTGTTCCTTGCCCTAGCTTGTTGGTGTGCTCATGGAAGATATGCTCAGAAACTCCTAAAGGATTTGTTCACAAACTACACTAGCGCACTGAGGCCTGTAGAGGACACAAACACCATCCTGAATGTAACTCTACAGGTTACACTCTCCCAGATAATTGACATGGTAAACTCCCACAGTGCACATAACCGTATGAGTGAAATTGATCCATGCAGATACACATATATCTGTATTGCTGTTTTGTATTTTATTTTATTGTGTTTTATTTTTTATTTTTACTGTTTTAACTGTAATATTCCCCTTTTATGATCACCTTTCTCAATATATTACAGGATGAGCGAAACCAAATTCTAACTGCATATTTATGGATACGGCAAGTGTGGTTTGATGCACACCTTAAATGGAATAAAGATGATTATGACGGCCTTGATACCATCCGCATACCGGGTAGTTATGTATGGAGACCTGATATAGTTCTCTATAACAGGTAGGTTGGATGGGCATAGAGTTCACAAATTCAATACTGTATGACGACATTCTGCCCAATATGAAATACACAAGCTAAACATGCTTTGAAGCTGTCATTTGTAGGTGTACAGGCCTATGCCGACTGCTTCTTATAGTCCAATAATGCAGCATATACAACAGTCTAGGCAACTATAAAAACAAAACCATAAAATTTGAATTTTAGAAAAGTGATTGAAAGTGCAAGAAAGTATTAGGTAAGTAGGTGTAAAGTAATTCCATATAATGATGCCTCCCATGGTTTAAAAGTGTCATTGAAACTAAAGGATGCTGAAACATTAAACATAATCATGTTATATTATTGAAAAGCAATAAAAACAGACACGATCCTTACCTAGTGTACTTGTGCCTTTCCAGTTTGAAACTAATCAAAGCTGTTTTTGTAAAAGACCTATTCAAAATTTGCTCCTAGTATGAATTTACAGTGTTGTTGAACATTGTTTTTTCAGCAATGATTTCTTTGTTTTTTAGCGCAGATGATCATTTCACTGGTCCCATGGACACCAATGTGGTGATTCGACATGATGGACAGATAATGTGGGATTCTCCAGCAATCACTAAGAGCTCATGCAAAGTGGATGTGTCTTTCTTCCCCTTTGATGCTCAGCAATGCCGGTTCACCTACGGCTCCTGGACCTACAACGGTAACCAGCTTGACATCCTTAATGCAATGGAGAGTGCTGACCTGGCTGACCTGGTGGAAAACGTTGAGTGGGAGGTGCTTGGTATGCCAGCTAAGAAGAGCATTGTTCTTTATGGTTGCTGTGCTGACCCATACCCAGATGTGACCTACACACTGAAACTTAAGAGGAAAGCATCCTTCTATGTCTTCAACCTGCTCATACCATGTGTGATGATCTCTTTTCTGGCACCACTTGGTTTCTACCTTCCTGCTGACTCTGGAGAGAAGGTGTCATTGGGTGTCACAGTGATGCTGGCACTCACTGTCTTTCAGTTACTGGTTGCAGAGATCATGCCCCCCTCTGAGAATGTACCACTAATTGGTAAGAATCAAATCCCAGTATGCGTGATAGTAATGCACTACAAATCTGTTCACAGATTTTCTCATCTTATTTCCTTCCACAGGAAAATATTACATTGCAACAATGACAATGATTACAGCCTCCACTGCTCTGACCATATTTGTCATGAACATACACCACTGTGGCCCTGATGCCAAGCCTGTTCCCAAATGGGCCAAGAAAGTCATTCTGCAGTACATGGCCAGGGTGTGCTTTGTGTATGAAGTTGGGGAGAACTGCATGTCACCTCAGCCAGAGAAACAGGAGCCTCCTCCTGTACAGAACACCAACTGCACCATGAATGGTCAGGCGGGACCGGGCAGAGAGGACTGCATCTTCAGAATGGAGAGAGGACAAGAGATAGTGGGACCTATGCCCACAGAGGAAAAAGAAGACATGGATCAGATGCTGTCTCCTATAGGCTCAATCGGGAAGAACCCTACTAGCAACTACAGCTCTTGGAAGAATGGCATTTTTGCAAGCCTGGACTGTGGTGACTCAGGGGAGGGGAGGAGATGCAGGAAGGGAGGAGTGAGTGATGGAGAGAAAAAAGACAGAGAGATTTCCTGCAGCATCCAAAGCAATGAAACACAGCTCTTGCGTAACATAGAGTATATAGCCAACTGCCACAGAGATCAGAGGGCCACGCAGAAAAGGACTGGAGAGTGGAAGAAGGTGGCCAAAGTTTTAGACCGCTTCTTCATGTGGATTTTTTTCATTATGGTGTTTTTCATGAGCCTTCTCATCATGGGCAAAACCATATAACTGCAGACCTTTTCAGAAGGTTTGGTGACAGCATGAAATGCTGTTAATAGCATAAAGATTATTCCAGGTTAGGACAGGAATAATCCAGTATTATCAGATTCTGTAAAAGTTTCTCATATTTCCAGGAATGTTTGAGATTTCATCTCCTATTACAAACCTTTTTGTGAGTAGAATTAAATCTTTGATAAAGTTGTTGTTTATGGACTTTCTCCCCTTGCTATGTGAAAGTTATTCCACTCACCCAAGAAGTGGGAAGTTCTTTTGTCAAATCTATATATTTTATGATAATGATATTTTTTCAGTTGTTCACTATTGAGTTCTTCTTTTAAAAAATAAAATACAGATTAATTTCTATACAGCAACTTTTATTTCCCCTTTATTTAAGGTGTTCATAAACTAATATCAACAAGCAACAAATAAATATTATCCGCTGTTGCTTAAGAAATGTCTTATTGTTGCAGGAAAATTTAAAATGTCCACATTTCAGAAAAGAATCAATTAATTTACTGATACGAAACGAAATAGTGAAGTGATGAAATAAACATACAGATCATTTAAGCAGCAAAAACTGTTACTTGCAGTTTCCTTGAATACTTAATTAGCCACTTGAGACTGACTGTTGAAAAACACAACTTTTGAGCAGAAATAAACATGTTTTCGTCCTGGTTCATAAACCATTTAAGTCTCTATGGGAAAAATTCCCATTTACAGGGTGATTTATTATATATTTGAATTATTTCTTATTATTTTATGGCTCACCCATTTAAAATGCACTGTGACTTATGCAAGAGGTATTAAAGTGTTAAAGATGCATTGCTCACTTAATGAGACTGGGTATCTGCACTAATTAGCAGGTATCTGTAATGCAAGGTTAATTATAGATCTATGAATGAACCTAATGTTGTCACTTTTGTCTCCAAAAAGCCTAAATGGTAATGCCCATAATTTTCAAATAGAGGGTCCAAAATGGGACCTCACGAACCCGTGATGTGACAGTAACTTTTATATAGTGGTCATCATTGTCATGTCACAGAAAGAGGGTTTTTCATTCAAAACAGTCAGCACCTGAGGCTTTTTTGTGTGGAGCTTCTATATTCTCCCTGTTCTTGGGCGAACAGCTTGCTCCCTCAGTCCAAAGACACACGTGTCAGGTTGATTGCAGAGATTAAAATCAGCTGAATAGCCCTGTGATAGATTGGTGATGTGCCCAGGGTTTATCCCACCCCTCACTAAAATAGGCTCCAGCCCTCCTCCAACCCAAAATCTGACAAAGCAGTTAAATCAAAAGCAGTTACTATGGTTATGGTGGTGTCCTGAGAAAGTAAGGCCTCCAGTGAACCCTGAGAGGGTTCAATGCTCTTTTAATGCTTCACATGGCTTGTTTGACTAATTTATAAATCCATGAAAATATAACAGCTGGCATGGGTCTAAAATAATTATACTAGCACAAGACCCTTTGATAGAAATTGTGTTACCAGTTTCTCTAAAACATATAACATGCTTATGATGATGCCACTAGTGTAACGCTTATGCATTAACTGTGAAATCTCATAGTTTGCAGCCATTAGCTTAGCTCTTGGTATAATCCCTCATCTATATGTTTTAGAGAGGGATAGCCCTCTTTAATCTCGACCAGAAAGGAAAATAGTCTGAATGCTTAGTCAGCAGTACTCTGTTCTAAACTGTTAGGAAATGCACTACAATGCAATGTCACATTAACAGAAGTAGAGAAGAATTACAGTAAAATGTCATGGGAAAATAATCTGTCCTGGATAATCCAGGTGCATGTGGCATGCAGAAAGACAAGGAAAGTATTTTAGGGGGATTACAATGGTACTTTCTTTTTTTTTTTTTTTTTAAATTCAGAAATATATTTCTGGTAAAAAATGTTTTCCTTCTATCTGATGGTCCTAATTTGAAGGTGTGAAAGACAACTCCTTGAACACAATGATGCCAAACAATACAGAACAGTGTTGATAATGGATTAGAATGAAGAACTGAATTGATTAAGTTGATCCAAACAGCCATTCACCAAGGAAATATTTTATCACTGGCATTTCTTATTATCTTTAGCCACACAGTAATCTTAGTTGGCTTTTATGAGTAAAATTAGTTAAAAAACTCTAAAAGCCTTTTGTTTTTAATAGGATATGAAAAAGAAGCCTCAGAAGCTTCAGTTAGCGTTAGATGGAAAATAATAGTTGCAAGGGTACATAATAAACAACTGAAAATATATTCCCTATTGGTATATGTACAATACATTTTGTATTGTGATACTCTATTAAAGTAAAAAAAAAAAAACATTACTAACTTTTTGAGCATAAGTTTTGGGTTGTAAGTTATTAACAATGACTACACAGAAAAAAACCCACAAGCTTACTGAAAACAAATGCATTACTCAGCTCCAAATACATGCATAGTGATACTGATTATAAGGACATTTTTATTTATTTTATGCTCTGTCATAGATATTATTTTAATGGCTTTTCAGCAATCAATCAATAGAAGTGTAGGCCTGGCCCCACTTAAAAAAAAAGGTTGGTAGAAAACATTTAGATTTGAATACATGGGTGGGAGGAAAATTAATGCGTCACTCATTCTGATGTCTTGTCATTTTATGCTGTTGTTATTGTTATTGAGCTGTTGAAAGACTTTTCAAAAGGAACTGGAACTACAGTTAAAAGAAAAGGTTAATCTAAAATAGGTACCTTTTAGTTGCAACCACTGAAAACCTTACTTTATTTATTTATTTTGTACTAATGTGACCTTCAGGGTATTTAAAGGCGCCTATAAATAAAATGTATTATTATTAGTACTGTAAATTTAAGATAAAAAAATATTAGGATGGAGTCACTTTTCTTTTTAGTATTTCAGTAATTTTATGTCTTAATGATCTCGTTTGCATTCCATAAATTATTGGATTCAGATTAGCAGGGACAACATGAAATAAAACATATGCAATTTTCCTTAAGTCTGGGTAATTTGGGAAACGATGCAAAATAATTGTTAAAAATCCTGACCAGAGCATGATCAGATAAAGAACAAGGTGGCTTGCACATGTTTGCAGCGCTTTGTTATTTAAGTCTTTGTTTTTCTTAATCCAGCAAATGAGAGCAATTCTAAAATAGGTGGCAGCTATGCTTGCAATTGAACTAGTAAACAGCAGCACAGTGAAAAAGAGTCCATAGATGTTGTTTATGGACACGTCCTCACAAGAAAGCTTGAATAGTGATGCATTGTCACAGTAAGAATTTTGTATAGTGGATCTGCAGCGGGACAGCCTCACAGTAAGACCTATTAATATAGACACAAGCACTACTGACACCCCCCAGGCAGCTGCGGACAGCCCAACCACAGTTCTGGTTGTCATAATGGAACTATACCTTAAGGGGTGGCATATCGCCACATATCTATCAATTGCCATAATGATGAGGATCATATGTGAAGCCGATCCAAATGTGTGACTTTGAAAAGCCTGAACCACACACTGTTTGTAGGTGATAAACCGTTCGGTTGCCAAGATGTGAGCCATTAGCTGAGGCAGCAGGACTGTGTTACCTATGAGATCATTGACAGACAGGTTACAAAACAGAAAGTACATTGGCTGGTGCAAACTCTTCTGAGAAATGATAAGCAAAAGGACTCCAATGTTAGAAAAAAGCAGGGTGAAGTAAACAAAGAGCAGTAAGAAAAAGAGAGGATACGTTAACTGTGGAGAAATGTCAAAACCTTGGACCTCCAGAATATCGGTTGAAACTGTTTTGTTTTTTTCCATTCTCTTTACTTAATGGGAAACCTAAAAGAGAAAACACTGACAATGAAACATGATAAGTATCCCAGTATGTTAAAGCTGAATGAACATACTTATTACACTTTTTTTTCTGCCTGGAAAAAAAATCAATAAAAATAAGATATGATTAAAAATGCTTCATGATAACAAAAAAAGAAAAACAAACACAAAATTAAATTAAATTACACTTTTAAAAACACATTACCTTCAATTGAAATATTCAGTAATCAAATTCTGTCTTGTTCTCTTGCATAAAAAAAAAAACCCTTTTTCATTCATTTTCAAATATGGTGTGTAAAACAACAACAACTAAAACTGACACCAATAAACCATAACCATAAACTAAGGAAAGTACCAACATTTTATAGTGAAAATGCAGATGTTTTGAAAAAAACAAAACAAAACAAAACAAAACAAAAAAATGCTCAACAAAACCTACAACAATGTGAAGTCACAGTGTTTTAAGCTGCTAGTGTTTTGTACCTTGGCTGTGGAGGAAGGAATCTAATCAGCAGCTACAGCTGAGTGACTTTTATATTCAGGGTGTAACATTTGATATGAATTTACTGGCTTCTCCATTTCAGCTACAGTTCTATATTTATCAAGGGCTCGTTATAGATTCCCACATGAATTAATATGGAGCTTGATATTTAATTTTTGTCTAGATGCAAGAATAAAAGCAAAACTTTTCCTGCCATACACTTCGAAAGAAGAAAAAAAAAAGTTAACAAGCACATTTTAAATTATTAACAAGAATGAGGACCATAAATAGTGGCCAGTGTGTATTATCTGTAGAAATTGTACTCTTTCCACTTTTCACTGTATGTTTGTGACCTGCACTCTACCTGCAGTCCTTCCAGACACATGAAGAAAGCAATGGGATATGGAAACAATGTGGACTTGTCCGCCATGGATTTATCATTACTACCAAGTGCAACTAAGTGTTATAGACATATCTGCTGACACAGCTTAACACACTTAATCAAACTAAAACAAAAAACAAAAAACAACCATTTAAGTTAGGCCTTATATATTCACCCTCCTCCCCCTCCCTTTCTCCCTCCTCCCCACACCTGAAATTCACTGAGGAGATGATGGAGCGGGTCAATGCTGGGCTCAGATCTACCCCCCGTCCCAATCCCTTTTTGTCCCCATAAACCCCCCACCAGAGCGGCCAAAGGTTCGCCATCGAGCCCCACCCTCAACAGAGCAATCGAAGTCACATTGCCCAGCCTCGCCCCCCTTAGTTCCTCTTCATGCCCTGTCTCCGCAGTCTGATGCGTGATGTGTGAAGGGTCCGGGCTGTGAGGATTATGGCAGTGATGACTTTTCCCAGGAGAAGCTGGGACCCTGTTTACTAGAAGGTTTTAAAATTTCTGTACTTTTAGGTGACAGGAGACATGTGGCCTGGTCAAAACACAGAGAGCTGCACTCTAAAAGATCTTTAAACATAGTAAACATACCTTGTGTGCCACAGACTGCTCCCAAACACGAGGGGACAAGTAATACCTCTAAAACACTTAAGTTGGCTTTAT